CCCAATACGCAGGCGGCACAGAATTATTTCAAATCTAGCTAGAAAACTCTCCAGAACATTTTCTCGTAAGACAGAAAAGAAAGTTGATGTGGATTCTTATAACGAAGGGACGGATCTTATCGCTGTACAAGACATGATTCCAGCCGATGCATTGTCTCGGGAACTTGAGAGTTTAAATGAACTTCGAGGGGAGGAAGTCGGTCAAAGTTCACAGGTAAGCGTTTCAGGACATGCTATGTTCTACCGGAAACATTTGAATGACACGCATATAGCTTTCAGACTCAGAATCTTCTGGAGTTCAAGACATTGTTATGAATGGAACGGAAGACGCACCAGAATCGCGGTCAAATGCATACATCTTCAGTGACGGTGTTTGGTCACCCGCATCATGCCAAAAAGAGGGAGAACTTTCAGTACATTCCTCGCCGGATGATACTAGCCGGTCACGCTCACCTTCCCAGAGGAATATGTGGCTGGATGGCGCTGCTTCGTCTAAAGCCCCCGAGCAGATCTACGATGAATGTATCAACAATCCAGAATTCATTGACTCGGCTAGCATGGTCTCAAATACTACAGCTACATCAATGCCCAGAAGTGAAATCTCAGTTCGTGAACCACGTGTAACTGGACCAGATGCTGAAGGATACTTCAAGATAGCCCACTACACAGGACCACAGCTGCCGTCTTTCCTGATACCAGAGTGCGGGTGCAAACCACCTCGAGTCTGTAGCGAACATATTCATGAATGGATTGACTTTTCTAGCCGGCCTTACACGCCAAGTGAAGCTGCGAGTTGGACAGAGGTTTACAAAAAAATCAGGGATATGCATAGGAGAGAGAGAAGGAAGACACTTCGACTCCTGAAGCTCCGAAACAAAGAGATAATCAAGCTACAGCAGACTATTAGTGATATACAATCCGGGTACCGTAGCCTGAAAGACTTGAGCCCGAATGAATATGAAGTTCTTATGACGAATGATGTTTCAGAAATAATGGCACGCGGTATTCTTGAACCAGAGCATCAGCGCTACGAGGAGCATATTCAGGAGAAACGCGATAGAGTGTACAAACAAACAGAACGATTGCAGGAACTCTCAATGAAGCCCGATTTTACATTATCCCAAGACGAAGTTGGAGAGCTCCGGTATCTGCAGAGGAGAGTAGCAAAGAGAAGGTTTCAAGGATTCTCTGACGGATATGAGCTCGCAAGAACGCACGCCCGGGAAGGAAAACTCGTTCTTGATGGCGGAAACTCGCCTTATACGCCGTATTCGCCCGAAGTGCGGTCTCCGCTTAGCCTGGGCTCTCCTCTGAGTTTCAGCCGGGGCAATCAACGTTTACAGATCACTATGGACGGCACAGGCTTTTCGAAATATGCCGACTCTGACTACGAGCCACCCATCACCCCAACCTCAGCAGCCTCCAGCATCACCCACAGCCCGATCTCCAGCGCACCCAGCCGAGACCCGCTCGAAAACCTCAGCCGCCTGCGCGACCAGCACCGGCGCGAACGCCGCGCCCGTCTCGCGCAGCTCAAGGCCGACTCGCAAAAGGAGCAGGCATTGACCCGCACCGCCAGCAAAGCTGCGCTGGACCGCTCCCTGCCCCCCGACGAGTTTGGCAGCGTGCTGGACGCGGTGCGCGGGGAGCGAGACGAGCTGGAGGAGATTCTGCGCAGGCGCGAGGCGAGTGAGAGGGAGAAGGCCGAGCGCTATGCGCGCGAGGAGGAACACTATTTGACGCTGGTGCTGAAGCCGCGGGATGAGCTGACGGGCGTGGAGGCGTCGTACTTGAAGTACTTGCGCAAGAGAGTGCACGAGCGCTGTACGTGGAAGCAGCGATAGCCGGTGTAATGGGCGTGTTGAGTGAGTGGATTGAGTGACTGGTGGTTGTTTAATGTGGAGACGTCGACTGCTTGTATTATAGTCTGGCAACCGCGCTATTTGCCCGGCATCCGTAGACTGGGTGTGTAATTACAGAGTGAGGTTTGCCTGTGGAGGTTTGTTGATTGACAGAATAGAATAGATTTGTGCATATGGACATCGTCACCAGTACCATCATCACCATCGATTGCTCTGCGTAACCCATCATTAAGCCGCCCCATAAGATATCTTACAAGAAACGCCACCCTCCCTCCCTCCCTCAAATTTTATACGTTACCCCCCTTCCCTTCACCCTATCCAGCCTACATCTACTGTTTCCGTTTCTTCCCCACCCCCCTCGCCTTCTCCCCGCCCTTCGGGCCAAGGAGAGCATGCTTCTCATTCTTCTTCTGCTGGCGCTCATTCACCTTCACCGCCTTCTTGCGCGCGTCGCGGCTCATCTTGCGCGGATCGACCTCCGCGTCCGCGTCCGTGCTCGCCTTCTTGTCGTCCACCTCCACCAGCCACTGGCTCTCTGTCGCCTTGTTGGCGCCCTTGTAGCCCCACTTCGGCACCCACTCGCCCGTCGCCTCGTCGTACACCAGCTTGCCGTCGCGCTCCTTTGGTGCGATGCCCTTCTTTTTGGCGAATGCCTCCCTGTTGCGTGCTGCGCGTCAGCGCTCTGCCGGTAAAAACTCACAAACACATGTATACACTCTCTTGCACACACGGGGGGGACGGGGGCAACGGGGACGCTTACCATTTCGTCATCTCCCTCTCCTTCGGCACCGGCTTCTCCCTCGGCAGCGCGCTCACCGGCTCAGGCAGCTCGACAAACACGCCGTCGGCCGTGGCCTTGATCGGCAGCACCGTCAGCACCTGGTTGACCAGCGCCTGCGCGCCGTCGCGCACGGTCGCGAGCAGCAGCGCGTCGCGCGTGGCCGCGTCGGCGTACAGCGATGGGTCGAGCGGGTTGGGGTCGAAGGCGGTTAGGTTGCCGAGGTCGAACTCGAGCGGGATGGGTTTGGTTACTTCGACGGGACTGTGGGGGGTGTTAGAAAGTGGGGGATATAGGGAGGGGGGGGGGAATTGGGGGAAGGGGGCAATGGGTACAGTTTTTCGCGCTTCTCGATGAGGGGCGTGGACGTCGTCATTGTGGTGTTTTTGGGGTGGTGGTGGTGAGGGCGGTGAGGTGAGATGAGAGGTGGTGGTGGAGTTCGGGAGGATTTGCGAAAATGAAGTGGGCGGAAGTCCACACAAGCTTTTTTTTTTTTCAGCCGCATCGAAGGTGCCGACCAACTCCACCCCACACGACGCCCACCACTGCACACCACCGCACCACCAATCGACGTCCCTCCACCACCACACGACCGGTGCCGTGCACGAGCAGCTACACCACCGCCACCGCCACCACCACCACCACCATCATCACATCACCCCATCTCCGCTCACCACACCATGCTCCTCACGCCCGCCTGGCGGCATAGCCTCCGCGCCCCCGCCTCTCTCCTCCGCCCTGCATTCCGCCCCCTGCGCCCGCTCTCCACCACCGCCCCCCTCGCCGCCGGCGTCAAAGCGCAAAAAGCCGCACCCGCCGGCGGCCGCCGCGCCCAGGTCCACGGCTTCGGCAAGAAGGGCGGGCCCGGCGACGCGCCCAAGAAGGCCGCGTTCGCGGAGGGCGAGCGGCGCGCGCTGCGCAACCGCATCGTGCTGTCGAACACCAACGCGCCGCCCGTCGATCTTGAGCCGCTGTCGCTGCGCAATGCCGCCGCGGGGGAGGTGTATACCCTCGCGGACGCGGATGTGGACCGATTGCGCGCGTTGCAGGGGTTTAGGAGAGGCCAGTTTTGGGGGCATTTTGCGGCGCCGAGTGTTGTGGTGCGCGAGGAGTGTGTGGTGCTCAGGGAGGAGATGGAGAGAGCCGTGGGCCAGGGGGAGGCGCAGGTGCAGGGGGAGGGGGCGGTTGAGGGGGCGCAGGTGGCGACGAAGACGGCGAGGGTTGTGCTCGATGGCGTCGGCGGCAGCGGGAAGAGCATTGTCATGCTGCAGGCGATGGTGTGGGCGCTGCAGATGGGCTGGGTGGTGCTCAACATTCCGAACGGTACGCCGCCCCCTCATAGCCCCCACCCATAACACCGCACTAACCCAACCCCACAGCCCAAGACCTCGTGCTGGGACATACCGACTACGACCACGACGCCGCCACCAACCTGTGGTCGCAGCGCGAATACACCTGCACGCTCCTCTCCAAGACGCTCGCAGGCAACAAGGCCCTCCTCGAAGCCCACGCACTCCCAGCACCGCTCAAGCTCGGCTCGCACCCGCCCCTCACCACCCTCGCCGCGCTCTGCAGCGCAGGCGCAAAGGACCCGCTGATCTCGCACGAAGCCTTCACGGCCCTGCTGCAAGAGCTGGAGACCTCGGCATCCGCGCCGCCCGTGCTGTTCGCGTGCGACGGCTTCAACCACCTCGCGCTGCCGTCGAAGTACCGCACGCCCGAGTTCACCCCGATCCACGCGCACGACCTCGCGCTCCCCGCCGCGTTCGTGGCGTTCCTGAACGGCGCGCGCAGCTTCGCGTCGGGCGGGCTCGTGCTCGCTGCGACCACGGCCGCGTGCGCGCGCACCGAGGCGCTGGAGTTTGCGCTGCGCAACGAGGCGCTGCCCGCATACTCGAAATTGGATTCGAGGATTGCGCCGAGCGTGGAGGGTGCGGCGGTGCTGCGGATGGACGCCATGGGCCGGAATGAGGCGGAGGCGCTGCTGGAGTATTGCAGAAGAAGTGGACTGGTGCCGCGGAGGGAGCGGTTGCCGGAGTCGGAGGTCACCGAGAGGATTGCGGTTGCTGGAGGGCTGCCGGCGGAGATTGTTAGGGGCGCTGTGAGGATTCGGGGGGCTGTGTAGAGAGTGGTGAGGGATGGGTGTAAATAAAAAGAAAGCGGGACTGATAGAGGAACTAGAGCGGGGCAGGATTTGTATAGTACTTCTTCTTTCTCTGTTCAACTAGGGCTGGCTGGTGACCATAAAACGGGGCTGCTGTGGGGGTGGTGTGTTGTGTATGATACGATATGATGCGGTTGATGCAAAATGTAAATGTACTTACTCTTGCTCAGTGAGAAAAGAACGCAAAAAGGATATCTGACCGCGGCAGGACTCGAACCTGCGATCTCTTGATTCGTAGTCAAGCGCCTTACCATTGGGCCACGCGGCCGGGGATATATAAGGTTCGCGTCACGAGCTGTCACTACACCCAGACAAACACAACGCTGGACTTGACCGGTTTCAGGGAGGTTCGTCGAACACGAGGGCTGTTTGCTTCTACTACTGCTACTACCACCGTCGGTGAAGTCGGACGGTCAATTAGCTAGGATTGCTGCCATGGTTTGATTTGGTTGTATGAACCTCACTCCACTTGAAGCTTCCGGGCTGTCAAGTTCAACGTAAGAACGATTTTCTGTGCTCTGAAGTTTCTTGGGTTGGCAGAGACTGTGGTAACAACTGGCCGCATCGGGGCGCCGGAGATGACGTATGGCCTAATTTGGCAACGTGTTCTGCCTTCTCTAAGTTCTAGCAGCGATAAAAAGCGGCGTATAGCGACGATTTCTTCGTCTCATCTTGAAATACGGTCTTGGTATCTTCCACGCGAGCAGGCTCGACTTTGGAGCCCACAGCTAGGTTGAGCTGTGCAAAAGTCGAATTATCTCGAGTGCTAGCTCCACCCGACTTTTTTGTCCATCCATGTCCACCACCACGTCCAGTACTATGCTCGTCTAAATCTGTCCTTCCCCGGGGTAACGTCCGACCAGTTTGAGCTCTTGCCATATTCGCATTTTAGAATTTGTGATTTAGAGCCAGTCGCGTCCGACGCTGCACTGTGTTCGCTGTTCAGGGTGAAATCGTCGGGGTTGGAAAGAAGGTCCAGCAGCGGCGTGGGGGGTGCTCTTCGGATATCCTGATCAACTATGCAGGTCCCGGGGGTGCAGTGGTTAACGCATGGAATATGATTATATGATGGTGTAGCGCTGTTGCTTAGTTGCGAGGGCCGTGTGTGGATTGATGGTCGTGGTGTGGTGACTTGGTGTGTAGAGTGTGCTAGGAGATGAAGTGATCTAATTCACTATTGCAGGACGTTGAATGTGGGGTTAGCTTTTGATAGGCAAGGACACTCCAGAGTTTCATCGTTTGTAAATCACTTGAGTTTTGGATCAACGGTTTCTTGTCCTGGTTTGTCAACATACCTCATCATGGGGCGAATATCCTTGAACAATTTTGTCGGAGTTTCAGGGTGTTGGATTGAATAGTGTTGTAGCCTAAACGTGTGATTGTGTTCGCTCAGAGTTAAGTGTGTACAGGTAGAGAAGAGAAATTAAGAGCAAGAGCAGAAACAAAGGCGATGCATATGGGATCGAGCCCCACATGACCAACCCCGAATCATTACCGGTGCAGATGTGCAGTCCACAACAGATAGCACAGTTCAGGTCGAAATTGCCAGAATGGCAAAGCGTTCCTAAAATTCACCCCGTTTTAATTCCAGGGCTTGGTCGGCCCGTGCTACTTATTGCCCACTCCTGAGTCCCCGCCTTGCCGTCCACCATAGTTGGCTCATAGCTGGCCGCCTACGATCTGGCACCCCCGCCATATATCCTTCCGACCTGGCCAGATTATCTCGGACCGCTCACCTACTCCCCCCCCCCCACATAGCCATACCAGACGGCCTACTGTTCGGACTATCTGGCAGCCCTATGGTGCCCAGCTTCAAACGAACGGCCTTCTAGGAGAGTCCATCATCAATTCCCTGTGCGCTTTCAATGTGCCGGAGGAAAGTCAATCTTTGAAGTACTCGAGGCAGCACAGCTTCGGTTTCTAGTAACTATTTAGTTTACTAACATGCTATCTATGAGTACGTACTTAGAGGTTGGGGTACAATCGGACTCATAATAAGTGACGTACATTGATCGTTTCTCAACTCTCAATGGCTGTGGATTAATATATCAAAAACTTGGCGCTATGGTAGATGCACGTGTGTCGATCCAACAATGCTTTTTTATATGTACGACCCGATATGTCCAACTCCCGTGGTTCCACAGTGTTACTACTTCTGTAATATAACCAATCAAAACCCCTTTTCTTTGTCTGAACACGTCACCATGTGTGTGCTTCTCAACATCACAGCTATTTGATTCCAAACCTGAGTTCGACACAACTCTTCGACTACACAGATTTCGAATGCTCATGGCCGCTGTCACCACAATATCAGTATATATAAACACATACTGAGTGCATATATATATACAGACGCTACAGCGTAAGCTTATATCACAATGCCGCCCCAGCCCCCACCCCTTCAAAGCTTCTTCTCCACATACCCCAGCTTCAAATACGACCCCCGCTTCACGCTCTCGGAAGAGTTCACGCGCCTCGCCTACGAGCAGGGCTGGGAGCCGTGCAAGAAAGCGTGGCGCCGCCACCACCGCCTCTTCCTCGCCGCGCTCGAAGCCGAGTCGCACTCGGCGGTGCACACCTTCTTCATCAAGCGCCACCCCAACTTCGTGACCTACAACATCACCGGCGAGGCCCCGAAGCTCGAGTTTCAGCGGCTCGCGACGCACAACCACTGGGCCGCGGACTCCAAGAAATTCCAGTCCGAGCATGCGTTGCTGATGGAGGCGTATTTTGACGATTTCAGCGGCGCCATGAACGATTACTTTATGGGCTTCGAGGATGAGGAGCAGGCGGGGGAGGGGGGGGAGAGGATTGGGTGGGTGCATAATCCGTGGAACTCGCCGCCGAAGGAGTGGGCACGGTTGGTGGATGCGAAGGGATGGGTGAAGAATAGTCAGATTTTTAGGAGTAATAAGCTCGCGTACCTGAGTGCCGTCGAAGAAGACTTTAATGATACGTTTGGATGGTCCGGGACGGATGTGGAGGGGTGGAAGTTTCTGTGCGAGACGTTGGGCATCGCGGTGCCGGCGGTCACGATGCGGAACCCGAATCTTCCGCCCGAGAAAAAGCGGGAGGCAATCTCCACCGCATGCAAGAAAGTGCGTATTCCTGGCGGGCCGTCCCTACATTCGCGGAACGGGGGCTAACAAGCAGTGTGGTGTCCAGGCAATGGCTCACGAATTTGTCAATCTCTTTGACGTGCTGGACTCCGTGCGCGCCTGCGGCTATATCCAGTTCTTTGCGACCGAGAAGGAGCTGAGCGACTATTCGTATGAATGGGGAAAGGTGTTTCCGTTGAATATCACCCAGCGCGGGTCGGCACAGTTCATCCTGAGGAATATTTCGAAGTATGTGGGCATGCAGGATGAGGAGCTGGAAAAAACGAGGGAGAAGAGGGCGAAGGTTGAGGCGGAACAGGAGAAGAGTACTGTAGCGGCTGAAGAAGCTGGGTTGATATAATGGGGGCGCGCTTCAGCGGCAGGTACGTACACACAGATTGTCTAGCACAAACCATACCAATGCTAGCAACTATAGCCTATAGGATGCTGTAGCGGCTTGGTGAATGCTCACGATCTCTTTGATTATATTGCCATTTTGTTTGAGTTGTCAAAAATTGTACCTTTTGGAAAGTACAGTATCCAGAATGGCCCGAGAAACATGTACTTTCTAAGGATTCAGATCATATATAGTTGTATCTGATCGAACTATCTAGTTGTTTGAAACCCAAATTAGCGTGCTTCTAAGTTTAACAATACTCATGTGTCTTACACGATCATGGCCGCCTTTAGAGTTGCTTCAGTCGGTGTGTTACTACTTGCTGAAAGTTGAAAAAAAAAGTAATCTCCAAACCGTCTAGTTCATTGGCGATCACTCGGCTGTATCCTCCCTTTTTGTGTTTTTGTAGTGCAGAAGACTTCCTTATTGAATGTTTCTCTCATGTGCAATCCCCTCGCCAACGAATCTGATCCTACCTCGTTCCTCGGTAGATTGCGCAATATCCCAAAGCACCGCAGGCACGAGGAAATGCCGGATCAGGAAAAACACACATTTGGCTGGGCACTTGCGCGAGACAAAGTGAGAATCTCACTATCTTGTAAGCCCTCTCGCTCACGCAAATACAAGTTGAAGAATGTGATAATCTCAAGTATATTTAAGTAAAAAATGAAGGCATTGAGAGAGTCTCATAGCTGATCCTGTAGGGTTGATCAGTATTCCGAGGGCAGCTGGTTCCCTAGACAATACCGATAACGTCAGTACGTTTGGAAAGAACCGTGCATGAGAGAGCAAGAAGTAAATCATGCCCAAGTAGGTGCGCTGGCTCAAAGAATGTTTTAATTGTTTCTACTCTTGTGTGATCGGCAGATATGGCAAATTCGAGTGACTTCATATGAACAACTCAGTCTAGTTGCTATTTCAAGTCTATGATCAATGTATACACCCTTTCTTTAAAGGTTCTACACAATAATGTTTTCCACTTTACTATCCACGAAGTCTATTGTATATATTATGAAACTCACGTTGCCGATTAATGCACCGAACAAATGCTTAACGGATGGCGCTGGCACGATCGTTGGGTATCATTCACTTATCACCTCGAGAAGCTAGTGGAAGAAGAAGCGAGGTCACTCTAGAAGAGGCGGCGGGAGTAGGAGGGGAGAAGCAACGGCAGAAAGTAACTGTACCCCTCGTGGAAGCTGATCATTACTCTGGGTGCTGACAGGAACTAGAGATTACATTCGCATCGGCATCCTTGACGGACCGTCCAAGTGCAGCTAAACGCCACATTGGCATTTGCACAAATATTTGACTAGTATCTGATTAAACTTACCAATATAAGTAATGTACGAGACCATCAAGTTCCCACAGCGTGGTACGGTTTGAGTTGACTATCTGCACGGCGTCTGCAAGTCTGCAAGTTACTTTGGAAGAGTGGAACTTTCTACGCATTCGGTAGGCCTATGAAAGTCTCATATATGTAAATACACACCAAACAGAACACGTAGCATGAAATTATGTGCTAATAAGTTGTGTGTGTAAGGAAGCACTCAGCACTATGAGTCGAACGGCGAAGTATCTGTGCCTTTCGTTTGGTTTTCTGGCCATCATCAATTCTGACTGTCGATAGAGGAAAAAGCAAAGTTGTATTATACATGTGCATTCAAGCCGAGTGATGTGAGATCGGAACTTTAGTCAACGCCACCGACCTGAATATGAGACAGCTGGATAATAGGGCATCGCGATAATGCTTTAGCACTAATAAATAATGAT